GCACACAGTTGTGGCTGCCTGTAATGCAACCCACGCCGGAGAGCCAGCTGGGCTGGGGGGCCTGGCTCGCCAGCTGCCCGAGCAAATGCCAAGATCTGCCCGATCGCCTGATGGCATCGGGTAAGGCTGGACACGAGCACGGTTTACTTCCTACTTCCTAAGCATAGCTGATTTCCACCAAGACGAAATTAAACTTCCTTCTGTATGGATGGAAAGACTCCCTCAAGCTGAAGTGGTTCACTAATTAAAATAGCTCTTTGTCCAAGGTTAGCAAGTTAAAAAAACCAGCAAGTGCTACGTTGTCACAAATCTGCTAGGTGGTGTGAAGGGAGACAAGCGATGTACAACCAACACGTTTTCAAATCTCTCGCTGAATCTCCATTAATCCCCTGCATTCCAGATATCAGAGCAGTCGTGCTGGCCTGGGGATCTGCTTCCAGTTGGTCAATAGCAACAGGAAAATCTTTAAACCTCCTTTTGATCCAGACATAAGTCGTGCCGGATCCGTGTCTCGCAGACCAGCCCTCGGCTCCCCCAAGACCCCCCGCTGCACACCAGCGATACCACGCGCAGAGCCAGCGGGACCACGCGGCGCAGGAAGCACTCCAACATCTGGAAGCACCGCTGCCTCCCAGCTCCCATCACTTATTAACGAGCTGTTACTCATTGCTGAAATGCTGCCAATTGGCATCATACAGGCAGGCAGGCAAGATGATCATACCTGGTCTGCAGCAGCTTTAGCCTGCGAGCAAGGCACGGAGCGTAAGCCACACTGATTTCCATAGGGTGAAGAACCTGGGAGAGCTGTTTATAATCTTCAGGCATAATCATAGAATCATAGAATTGTTTAGGTTGGAAAAGACCTCTAAGATCATCAGGTCCAACTGTTAACCTAACCCTGCCATCCCACCACTAAACCATGGCCCTAAGCAATCACACAAGCTGACAAAAGAAACGCTACTTGGCCTAACTCTCTCCTCAGGTGTTACGTGACTGCGAGGCCCACCACAGCCTGTCTCCAGGCTGGTAGCTTTTGCAGCACACATTAAATCTTGCACAAGGGAAGTCAAAGGAAAGAATGGGAAATAGCTCTGTATGCTGCATTTCCTCCTCCTCCTCCTCCTCTGCTGAATGGGAGAGGCAGGGTTTGCAGAAATCCCTGCTTGTATTAGTCTGTACCTCTTCTCTGGAGACTTACCGCCCGTTCCAGAAACATTTAGGTTAGGAGGAGGAGGTCCGAGACATGGGAGATGAGAAACATTCAGCCCCTGCCCGGTTGTATGTCCCAGGTATTCCGCGATCACCATGCACACACAGCTTTTTTTACATGGCAGTGCAGGTGTGCTGGTGTGTGCACCATTTTCCTGAATGGGTTCTGATAATCTCTCCCAAGCCATTGCACTTTTGGGCTCCTCAGAGCTGAGAACAGGTGAAGATATTTTAAGAAAAAACCCAATGTTTTTTGACAGAAAAGCCCTGTTTTAACAAAAAAACAACCACACACTGTAATTACAGGAAGGTACTTCTTGTAATAATCTAGACTTCTCTTTTTGCTGCTACTTTGAAAGACTGCTACGATTACAAGGGGATATTATGCAAGGTTGGCACAGTTTATGTTTTATAAACATATGTAAAAATATATAATATATTGTGCTCTATTGCAGACCAGATTTGCATCCCAGAAGTGTTCTTGCAATGTCCAAAGTAAAAAAAAAAAAAAAAAAGTAATGATACCCAAAAGCCATAAGGGAATCCGAGAGGCCTGTGGGCATGCGGGAATTTATGTGCATATAGCAACTCACATTAGGACTGGTGGCAGTTAAAGCACATCAATCTTTTGTGCACCCAGATGAAAACACCACGGAACAACTCTTTCCTGCCTTATATCCAGTGTTGATGGAGGTGACACAGGGCTGCAGAAGGTGCAGATCAGGGAAGAATCCGAACCTCTGGCTACTACGCTATTTAATCCTTTTGACTCTGCTCTGCCACCACCATCAAAAATAGCCTGATCTCATGCCACCAGTGGCCAGAGGACAGGGATGGAAAATGAGGATCTCTTATCATTTGGTAACACTGCCACAAAACAGGGGGCTCTGAACAACTGGACCTTAAAATGAACTGGATCAAATGGCCTGTTCTGAGGTCCCACGCAAAGTATGTATGAAGCAACAGCAGACATGGGTTACAACTGGTATTTGGGAGGTAGAAATAGGAACATTTGAAGGAATAAACTTATCTTCTTTCTCTTTCACCTCTTTCATAGTTCTGAGAAATTTAAAGTCTGAGTATGACCCAGTGCCACACAGGCCCATGTTCTTTGTCATATACTGCTGAAAAGCAGGGTAAATTAATAAACCGCAGAGCTCACTACTGTTACGGCTGTAGCTAAACTGCTTTTGATACATGAGCTAGCTTCATACATTCTAATAGTCATGATTTACCCTATAAATGCTTCCAGTGAAATATATGAGAGCTCAGATACATTTTCCCTTGCAGCCAGAGGAGCCTCTCTGTTCTTCAGAGCCTGGCTCCTAGAAGGTGTTTAAAAATAAAAGGTGCTGTGCTGCCACTTGTGACTGGCCCTTAAGAAGTTACACCCCTGCATAGACTGAATGCTGCCCTTTGCAAAGCTCCTTTCAGCTCTTCCAGAGACAAACGCTGAGCAGCTTTGACACTGTAACTCCATTAAAAGAGCTTATTTGATGGGTCTGGTTTCACACTTAAAATGCTTTTGGTCTCACTACCCCAACCATCTGCTCTCCGGTGACAGCAGTTCTGCCACCCCGCTGGGATTTGCCTTCGCTGCTGGTCAACAGGAGCTCCTCTACAGAGAGAGGAGCCAGACTCTTTGGGAAGGCCTGCCAGGGACGCACAGGTCAGCCAGATGCAGGACCACTAATTTGCCTTAAATTCTGGGGCTATGCAGACTGCCAGCTCTGACATACAGCCACTGCGTGGAACTAGCAAGTCCTGTCCCTACCCGATACCTTGGTTCCCACTTCCGTAATTGCAATTAGAGAAACTTGTTTTCCCTGGAGAGCATGTGTACAGAATGTGGTGCAGGAATAAAATACCACTGCTTCCAAATGGGAAAGACCCAAGTCTGGTAAGACACTGCTAGTATCTCTGACTTCCCATCACATCTCACTGCTCAGAGCCTCTTTTCTTGCTTTGGACAGCTGCGGAAAACACATGCATTTACAACAGCAGAGATAAGCAAAGCACATAAGAAATACAGGCAAACGAAGGAAATCCCAAACCGAATTACATTCATCAGGAGCAAGCTGAGAAATCAAGCCACAGACAAGCTGTCAAAATGTCCTGACATAACTGGAGAAATCTCTTGGTTGATCCTGGCATCTGTTTATCTACCAGAGCTTGTACACATGGCAAAAGCTCTGGGCATCTGACGTACTACTGTATTTTCACAATCATAACTAAACCCAGCCTTGTTTCGTGTATGATCCCACTTCCTATCCTGGGTTACGCAGGCAGGAAGCAGAACGCTAGACCGAGTCGCCCGTGGGCTACATATGTCCGAAAGTGTTAGAAACCTGGAGGTAACTACAGACTCTCTGCTACCAGTGGAAAGCAAACAGAGTTTTAAGCAGACCCCAACTCAGCCGTAACAGCCACATAACATAGTATTTCTGTGGATTTAGGCCCCTGCCCTAGACTGTATTCCTGCCTGCTTTTAAGTCAGTCTTTTTGGGATTTTGCACGTCCATTGCCATTTTGAAATTCACATCCTTTGAATAAAGTCAGAAGAAAACCCCCTGACTTCAGCGTCAGCTGACCTTAAAATGCTTAGCGCTTGTGGTTTTGACTTTTCAAATGACCAGCTTTGCCAGAGTTTTCCTTCTGTTCCCTGTACCAGCAGGGTGACGAGGTTTTGAACACTTCTGAGGCAGCCCCTAAAAACATAAGAGAAACTATGTGGTCTGAAAGCCAACCCATACTACAACAAGCACGGCAATTAAAGCACATAAATCAGCAATTAAAGAGTTACTAAGGACAAACATCCCGCTACTGATATTACAGTATATCTGCTCTTCTAATCTTCAGAAAGAACGATATACCAAATTAATACCCAAGACCCAACCTTTTCAAATTTGGCAAGGTAAAATAACTGACTTAAAGTCCTTTTTTACATTAGGCTTTAAAATTAGCAAATTTGACTGAAGTCAACGAAACATCCCACTTGAACATCAGCTGGAGACAAAGCAGATAGATAATCCTGGAATCACTGCAAACATTATGCTGGTTTGTGCCAGAGGTCTGATGGGATCGGAAAGGCTAACGACGTTATGCTTCCTGTTAGTTAGGGCTAGCTGATGGGAAAAAATGTTCCTTGAGAGGATCTCTCCCAGTTTTAGGACTAGGCATGAGCTATAGGTAGGGTGCTCCAGGCTGTAAAACGAGGGGAGATATTTCTTTCTCAGTTGTTTTACCCTTTGAACTCTCCTGAACAATTCCTTTCCGTATGCTGACTGCTTGTAAAGTGGCGGTCATGCCATCCCTCAGAGCCTGAGCCGTACGCGTTCCGCAAAACCCATCCATCGAGCGTGGGGACAGCACAAAGCTCCGCTCCCCCCTCGTGTCTCCCGCGCCTGCTGCTTCCCAGCAGTGCTGCCGGCGATGGGGGCAGACCCTGCCGCCCCAGACCCCGCAAAAACGTGGAGCAAAATGTCCGCGCCCCCAAAGAGGTTGCAGCGGAAATCTAAGGCATCAAAGAAGAGCTGAATCCAGGGAGGCTGGTTTTGTTCTCGCCGTGCTTTCGCGCAGGCAAGGGGCAGGCAGGGTGGGCGGGCTGGCTGTATTTGAACTTATTCAGGAATGAAAAATGGCCATAATTTTGCAGTCTTCTTTCAAAAAGTCTTATTCCCAGGGCAGACCTTTGTTGCAGCACTGAAAAGCTCTACAGTCCTCCCACCTGCTGTTTGCCCTTATCGCTCGCCCAAGCCCTCGCCCCTGCGCACACATCCTGCTTGCACGCGGAAGCTGCTGGCAACATGGCTGGGGACTGCGTTTTGCTCGCTGCTGTCTCTCTTCTTTCCGCCTTCCAGCAATGTAAGATCTGTGGGGTTGCGTGGCTGGGGCTCGGGGAGGTTTCCACCGGTTCTGAAGTACTGGAAATTATTTTACGATAAACTGGCTGCTCTGTGACTGTGATTTCTGAGAGCTCCTAAGGTTTTTCTCACCGGAGCATTGTTTACCCTCTCTGTAGCCCGAGAGGGCGTGGGCTCAGTGGGACAGATCACTTTTCCCCGTGGGAGAATTTGTTTCCAATTCTGTTTGCTGACTTTTTTGGAATTGTACTTACGTGAGAGCTTGTATCTAGCTGTAAAGTTACCCCAAAGCCACGCTATGTCTTGGTTTTGATTCTTATTTAGGCACCTATACAACTGAAAACCTCAACAGTGAGAGTAAATTTGTGAAACCAAATACACCAATGCTGGACCGAAAGCGCTCTAAAATCTCTTTCCTGAAACAGAGATATATACTAAGTAATTGAAAGAAGAAAGCAAACCTTTACACCTGGCAGCAATAATATGAGCTATCCCGTATTATGTCCTCCTCATCATTACAGTTCTTTAAGATCTATATGGATTTATTCTATCCCCTGCTGATACGCCTCTGAGAATCAAGAAGTAGGGAGAGAAGTGGGCAAGTCTGAGATGCTCTTTTTGCTGTGCATCAGCCTATAGCTGCAGTAGCATTTTTAATGCTTGTCATTATTTTCTTTAAAATATGTTTATATATTGCGTTTACACCAGGAAACGATACATCTTGAAGGCGTTTGTGCTTTACTAGTGTGAGATGATTAAGAGCAAGTGAAAAGTAATTACTTTGCCTTCTTTTCAGATCTCTACAGCACTGCCAACTTATCTAGTAACCTATCTGTGTGGCTTGATTGGTTGTTTATTTGTTCTTAAAGCCTCAGCTACTGAAATAACATTTGTACCCACAGAAAAAAAAAGCTTGAGAATGTGACCCTTCCAGGTTAAAAAAAGCCCAACACAGCAGAAGGCAAATAAAAAGCACCTCAAATTTACATTCCCTTTTTCTGTCATCAGATCAGCTACAACATACCCCTGTGGTCTTCACAGCACATTTCTAGCTGGTGGCAGTATTTACCATCAACTTCTGTGAAAGTTCAACTCGCCTGCCTTGATTTTTTTTTAAGTTAAAAGTGTGAAGGATTAAAACCAACCAACCAACACCTGGAAAAGTACTGCAGTTTGAAAACTGAAGGAATTGTATAGACACTGAAACTGTGAAGGAAGAGGGAAATACCCATCTTCTTCCTTGTGGTGGTTAATCCATGTTAGTTAATCTTAGTTAAAATCACAGAAAAGACAAGATAACCCAGGTTTGAACTTACACTGGCAGTCTGACATCAAGCCCAAAGCAAAACCCGCGTGAGAATCTGATCCGCTGACAGGATTTAAATCCCCACAGCTCGGCTGACTTTCAGCACGCTTCCTAGCATGGCTGAACCAGCGCAGATTAATGCATGGGAGCTCACATGCACGCTGTGGAAGGGGCACTGTCAGGGCATGTTGTACCCAGTTCACACAAGGGTGACCGGCTTCCTGCAACCGAAACGCACATGGAGACGCACGGCACCGGGTGCTCTGTTTACTCTGCTGTTTATTCTGCTGAGCCACCCACCCGTCCGGAGTTAGGAAGGTGCTAATGGGGGATACGACCCCCCTGAAGCAGTGCTGGAAGTCAGGTTTCACTCCGCAGCTATCAGAGGTACCAGATTTAGTGCCTCTGAACTATGAGTTATTCAAAGAACCAGGCCGGTCGAAGATTAAGCTGTGCAAGAAATGCTCTAGGGCAGAAAGAAAGAGCAGAAGCAATGCAGGAAGGGGTTGCCAGTCATGAACCAGGTTTTAAGCAGCTAAGATTTGCTTGAGAGATTAGGGCTTGGAAGACTGATGGGAAAACAAGGGAACGCAACGAAAGGACAGAGTGAATCCCAGACACTGATACAGGTGAGAACAGGGAGGAGAGGAGTCCCACCACTCCTCTATTTCGAAGCATCTCTCTGAACTAGCCACCTTTTAAAATCACTCTTAGTAATTCCAGGACCCAGCAAGACAGTATTAAAAAGATTTTGATTTTTTTTAAAGGTCATTAGGCCGGGCCATGCGAATTAGCATGCACTATCATACACTGCAATACAGGTACAATACAGGTAGCAGCTTCTCTACAGGCTTTTTAACAGAGTAATCTTCCTTGAAAGCCTGCTTTGTCCCATATTTTCACAGTAAAGATATTAACTCAGTAACCATAAATGCCACCTGAAGATGAAAGCAAAGAGAAAAAAAGAAAAGAAAGCAAAGAAAGGCAAGTCAAGCCTACTTTGTAACTACCTCAGTCATGTAATTTAGCCTGCTAGGATTGAACAACTCGATAGAGGGGGAAGAAAAGGCTATGAAAACCTCTACTTACTCCTGCTGCCACGCTTTCTGGAGTCCTCACCCCAGCACCTGCAGTGGGTGGGGCAGGAGAGCTCTCCCATTGCTTTATTATTTAATTTAGCCCTCGTTAACCCATAATCACAAACCTTAAATTTGGAGTTACACCGCTACTTCCCTTTCACCAGCCAGGAACTGAAAGGCAAGTCCTATGCAGTTAAACAAAAAATACAGTCATTATTCCTCTCCTGAGCTCTTCTCGAGTCCCTGGTTGGTGCCTGTCTTGTTCTGCGTGCCGGGCTCACCTTTTCTCTGAGGGTGATGCTAGTTCTCCCCTTATGCAATGCCACAGCCTGGTTTTCATTGGCATATAAAAGCCCACTTGTCCCCGACTGAAGCAAAGTTCCCATAAATGACAGCGGAAGCCACTAAAGAAGTGGGTTTTGGGATGGTTGGCCGTATGATCGCGACCTGTTTCCGCATATGGTTAACCAGAGTCTCCCACGTGCAAATCTCTATCCCTCAAGATACAGCCTTGCTGACCAAGCACTACCAAGGAGAAATCGCATTACAGCTGAGGCCAGGGTTATGCCGTGGCCTTGATGATTTGTTTTGGTTAATTGTACTGAACAAACAAGAACGATTTGGCCCCTACGGTGCCTTAATCTTCTTATTTCCCCCAGTACATTTACTTTCCCCAGCATCCGTTCAAGGTTTTTTTTCCACTCATTTGAATGCAATGAGCTGCCTTGGCTCGCCTCAGTCCCTCAGTAGAAAAAAAACTGGTCCCAGACTAGTTGGAAGCATTGAATGGGTCAGTGGGGCCAGAAAATGAGGAACTGGCTAAAAACACCATTGCACGAAAAACCATGGCTCACCTACCACTTTGACTGATAAGCCAAGCAGGATTTGCCAGCACGTGGTATTTGTCATAAAAAATAGATCATTTTGAGGGCAGCAGAAGTTAAAAAACAACTTTTCAGTTAAGTTTTCCAGGAAAATATTTCTCAGAGGTAATTCTTGTGCTTTCACAAGTTTCAGTCTCCCTGAAGCACGTTCCCTCAGCCCTCCCTGCTACCGTTCTTCCCTTCCGACAGGGCTGCAAGGTGGCAAACGATGGGTGAATCACCAGGCACGGCAAGAGAAGCGTGGGTGGGAGCAGAGGAGGTCTTGCTGGATGCAAATACGATGAGAGGTCCTGTAAACCTGCCTTCCAGAGGGATAGCTGAGCTGCTCTGACTAGCCTTGGGAGAGAAGGGTTGAGAGGTCACTTGAACACAGCCTGTAATTACTTATATGGGGAGAAGACAGACGGGAAAAGGCTTTTTTGGGAAAAGAGCTTGGCCAGAAGGCTTAGCCATAAGAGGCGCGCAGGGCAGCACCACCAATATCTCTAGCTGTATTTTAATGCCACTGCTCCCAGAAGGGAGGGCGGAAGGTGTGCTCGAGGCTCGCCCCTCAGGCAGGTCTTTTTAGTGAACTCAGGCAGGTGCCTGGTTTCTGGAGCCAGGTAAAGTTCAGGTAGAAGCTAGGCAGTGAGCGGATGGCGACAACGTGGCCAGAAAAATAACTCCAGGTATCCAGAGGGTCTTAAAGTCAGACAAGGTGATGCCCAATAGCTCTGCTGCACACAGAAAATTGCTGTCTGTGTACTGGCCTTGGTCCTTGCCAGCCTCTGATCAACTTTTAGGGGGAGACTTCTGCAGTGAGGACATCAGTAAAACGGGATATACGTATACACATCAGAAGCGGTCCTAGAAATACAGAAGTGCAGAGATAGCGTTGGACTGGTTTGGGGTTTTTTGGTAAGCAGCCGATATTCAGTCACTGTACAGCAAGTAATCTGTCTTTTTCATGGCACTGCGTCAGGTCTAAAAAATGCTTTTTACAAGGTGGGTGAGTACTATCAGCTCCAGTCAGTGGAGGTGGGAGCAGGATAGGTCCTCCATCAGACAGCTCTCGGGCTCACCAGCAGAGGAGGTGGAGAGCAGGGACCAGGCTACAGCCTCCGCGGTGGCAGCTCTCTGCTCTTTCCAACACACTGAACCTTGAGAGTCCGAGACAATAACAACCGATGGACAAGCATGTGCTATAGGATACGGGTAAATAACTTCCAAAGGGTGGCTACAAGATTTTTGTTTCCAAAGATCGTAATGCTACCCCATGCCCCAAAGCACCATAGCTCTTAGCGTCACTAAACCAAAATGACCATACGCTACTCAAGCAAGTAGGGAATTGGCCTCCATCGGGGCAATTTGGTTACTGCTAAGGCAGCACGCTGCCGCTGCGGTGTGGCTAGGCTGCTCCTAGGCTCGGCGGTTCTAGGATTCAGGTGGGGTGGAAGGATACTTAAGGCATAGCTAGTGTAGCAAATGCAAAAAGAGAATGAATATATTTCTGAAATAGCATTTTTTGCCCCTTCCTCATGAGTGAGTCACTCCTGAGGATAAGATCTGAACTTTTGTGGGGAAAAACTAGTTTATCTAATATTGGTCTCCTTCTGCCGAATGACATGGAAAGAGCTGAAGAACAACAATCTCTATTTAAAAAAATTACTGACGTGTTAGGGATGCAACTGAGCCGAGGAATTGTGCAATCGCGAGCCCTTATTTTTGCTTACAGGTCACTTTGCTTGGCTGGTGGGGAAATCAAGAATGAAGCACAAGGTCATGCCCCCGGCTGTCACTGGAGCTCCGGAATTTGACAGAACATTTCGTGCACAGTAAGTCTGCAGATCATTAAGATGGTGGCAATGAATAACAATTCAGTCCAGAAGAGAAGCAAAAACATTATCCTAAAATGTTACCTTTTCTTTGCATCCCCTGCTCAAAAATAAAGAAGCAAAGTAACAAACAGACCCCTTTTCAAATGGTTCAGCTATTATTTTAATAAAAATGGGGTAAGTTCAGCTCATTTAAAAGAGTCACTGCTCAAATTCTGACCAAACTAGGCAATCAGATTACCCAAACCTAAGTAGGGGCTGAGAGCTAGTTGACTGCAATTTAGAGAATTCAGATGTTCTGGATCTAGCAAGCTGTGCCGTCAGTTCTTGGGCTGTGGCAAACACCAAACACATGGAAGACGAGCACAGGAAACCTCTGTCTTCACAGTGGGTAACGGTGGAATAGCCCAAGACGACAGCGTTTTCCTAAAGGGCTTCAGTTTGTGATTAGCTAATGACCCTATGCAAAAGTATTTATACTTATTTCAATCCCATCTGCTGTAACTGTAGTCGTAGTGGATAACAATAACGGGGCATAGAATACATTAGACAACATATTAGATAACAGAATATGTTAGATATAGAAGGAGGCCTAATTCATTAAAAAGAAATTCATTCAGAACAAAGCAAGAAAAGGTATTCCAACAAAACGTTGGTGGGAAAACTGATGGATGGCCACAGATAAAGACCATGGAATGGTAGAGTCCTAGGTTGGAAGGGACCTCAAGGATCATCTGGTCCAACCTTTCTAAGTAAGAGCACAGTCTAGAGAAGATGGTCCAGCACCCTGTCCAGCTGAGTCTTAAAAGATGTTAAAGATGTTATGGTCCTCACCATAAGAGGTGGTGACTATTGTGTGCCGTCTGTGCCTGACATAAAGGCAGTTGGCCTCGGCAGGGCAATCCAAGCTGCCTACGCCCAGCTCTGTGCTTCCCCTCGCGGTCCCAGGAATGCTGGCCCACAAAACTTGCAATACCGAGTGCGGAGGTAGGTGATTAACACATCCATGTGCTGGAATTCCTGCCTCTCTCTGCTGCACAGGCACTTAATTTAGGTTTGTTTGTCCTATTTATTTCCATGTAGTTGGGATCGAGATCTTTGTCTGTGTTTAAATACCGGGCAAATATTTGGAATAAGTTTGTGTTTGAGATTACAAAGAAGAGAATTTTTAAGAGTGCCTAATGCTGGCTTTGACTGTGCTCCCACTGGATTCGATAGCATTAACTTTAGTGGCAACTAAACGAGGCCGAAGCTGATTCTCCTTGAAAACCCCACCCATAGTTCTTTTCCTTTCCAGACTAATGTTCTTTCAAATTTATTCTGCAGACAAAACTGTGTGGAGTTTTATCCAGTATTCCTGACTGTCCTCTGGACTGCGGGATGGTTTTTTAATCAAGGTAAACACTTTTTGCCTCTATCTTGGACTGAGAAGTTTTACGTAACTTTTTAAAAGACTGTAGTTTTATCAGGAGGTAGGTAACTGTAGACACCTTTTCCCCTTCTTTTCATTGCATTACCTTAGCGTAGCCTTCCTAGAAGAACACTCCGTGACACTGAAATCCCCACTTAGTCATGGCATTTCACACAGCCCCACCAGCTTTCACTTCTCTCCACAAGCCAAGGAGCCGGTCCCCAGCACATTTATCACACGTTCAGTGGATTTGCAGGGTGAATCATTCAGAAAAGCAGCTCCCAGATGCCTCCCACTAACAATTATTTGCACATTACGGGACAGTTCTCAGAGGACATCAAGCACAGCTATCGTCCCTGGGGAGGAGGCAGCCTGAGGACTCGGGTCGGGGCACTCATGCCTGGGGCTGGCCCCCTGGCTGGTGGGGGCAGAGCTCAAGCCAGCAAACATTTGGGGTTTTACATCCCAGATGAGTGACGCCACCACTGGGCTATGACTTGTTTGTTCTGTGACGCAGCTCCGAGCGCTGAAGCACAGTCGTAACAGCGGCATCTCCAGCCACAGATACCGTGTACTTCAGGTGTGCTTGGGAAAATCTACTGTGTTTTCTCAGCCACCTAGCAGGGGGGAGGGCATTTTTTGGCCAAATGTTCTGAACTCAGGCGCCGCAGAGCTTTCACTCCTCTCACTCTGTTGGACTTTCCAAGGCGGGTCCGCGATGTCTCCTAACAGTGACAGGGCAGACTCTCGTAGAGCTAGAGCTTGTGTCAGGGCCTGATTTTTGCATTCTGCTTTATTAATCTCTCCCCAGCTGATGCCTGAGAAGCATAAGACTGTGGGCTGGAGAAGGGATAGTTGTGAGCTAGTTATGCTCGTGCCCACTATACCTCTCCTTCCTGAACAACTACCTTTCTTCTTCATTTTCTGTGTTTGCTCCAAAGCAGTAATTTTGTTTTGGGGCTCTCTTACAGCCAGATATTGAGTCCCATCTCCACTGCAAATCCAATGTAAATCCAAAGTAGCACCACTTAAGTCAACTGGATACGAGATAGTACGTGTGCTCATAGACAGGCACTTGAATCGGGGAAAATCACACAGCAACCCAGCCGTGTGCTGTCATATGTAATAAAGGATTACGTTAACCTCCTCTTTAAGTCATTTTTTCAGCTGAGCATCTCCCATAGATGAGGGGAGACGAGTTTACATGAGTTAATCCAGAACACAGTAAAAGCTGTCCTCTGTAATGCTCACTCACACGGTTTGAAAGGAGACAAAATTATCCAGCTTAGTCCTGGGTAATACGACTGACCTCCACACCCTGCTCCATCTATCAAATGGAGGTGACTTTCTACTCTTCCCACAGGGAGGTCAGACAGCTAACTTCACTACAGCTTTCCCTCATGTCCTTGGATAAAAGCTGCTATATAAATGCAAAGCAGGTTATTAACAACATAAATAAGATTTCCCTTTCCAAAACAAACACTCCCCTTTAGCATGAACTGCCATAACAATACCAAAGGACAGCGCTGGGTCAAGCCACAGTGCTCCAACCCACTGTCCTGTCTCTGGGATAACCACCAGACTGGGGCGGGGGGGGCAGATTCCTGTCAGTTCTTGAGATCTCCTTTCCAGGGAATGCCTTTAGATTTTTTTTTGGACAGTCCTATGCCCACCCTTATCTGTAAACCCATATCAAGAGCCTCCTGTAGTGAACGCTTAAGAATACATATATCTCTTTTGAATGATGCTTTCCCAAGATAAATTCCCAGGGTGTGGGTAGCTATGAAAATCCCCAGGGCCATGCAACTGGAAAACCATAAGTAAAGTGCCTAACTGTCTCTATGATGCTCATTTTCCAGTTTTCTAACTGGTTTTTTTCCCCCCTATTAATCCTTCCTTTCTTAGAATTAGCTTCCTTCCTGGGCGTGTTGTACGTGTTTGCCCGCTACAAGTACTTCCATGGCTACGTACAGTCTGTGAAAGGAAGGTAAGGAGTTCCCAGCTGAACGCAGGTTAAAAGCTCCAGGCTGCGGTCTGAAGCCGGGCTGAGAGCCAAGGTCTGGCAGTGAAAAGTGACTGTAATTGAATGCAACATGTGTAAAGTGTCAGCAAGAGGGCTGATGCGGAACCCCCCAGGGAAGAGGGCTGGCTGCTGCGGTAGAAGCCTAGGTTAAGATGCGCACGTGCTACGGGTCACGAGAGAGAAGGGGGTTTGCTGCTCAGCTTGCGGGGGCCTGCTCTGCACTGAGCACACTGGCAGCCGGGCTGGGAGAGGTCTGAGAACAGAAGTGTGGTTTTGCAGCTGAGGACTGCGGTGGGATGGGAGGCTGCCCAGGCAAGGCTTGCACAGTGCCTGCCTGCCTGCGGTTTTCATTTTTCCTCAGTTTGTCACATCAAGACCTTTACTCTTGCCACGCAAAATGCACTAGAGGAAGCAAGCGAATCTGGCCTTGTAAGCTGATGAACTTTCACCAGACAGATAAGAGAACACAGCTTCAGATAAGCATATGTTAATGAATGTTAAGTGCAGAGCATCTCGTTAACATGAATTCTGCTTCAGCCAATGTGCACACTGGCCATCAACACTCAAAGACACAGTTTACTACTTCTTTCACTGAAGCCACCTTCTGTGTCCTGACCTAAGGCTCCTCTTCCAGCACACACACTGGTCCCGAGAAGGAAATAGCATGATATATACTTGTCATAAAATTAAGAGACTTGGGATGTATGTTTCTGGAGGAAGATGCTGAACAATCAGACTATTTGGGAGCGAATAATCCTGCAGCAGCACAAGGCTGTACTACAGGGCTCTTTTCCATAGCTTGCATACTGAAATTCTCCTTCACACTACAGTCTCCACCAGCCCTTTACCCTCTTTGGAAGAGCTGTTGCTTAAGAGAAGGGAGAGTCTATGTATTCCAGAGAAAATATATGGAGACAATTTTGTATTTCCCAATAAGAGATGCAATAATTCAAGTGATGCAACGAACACCAACCAGAAGACTAGCAACTATTAAGGAAGTTTGGGGAGCAAAACCGCGTAAATAAGTGAACAAGCAGAGCATAACAAACTTTCCTTTAATCAACAAACTTGGAAGTCCTTTGTTCAAGAAATCTCTCCCATGCTTTACTTCAGTACTCCTGGACCAATAGATTCAGCCTCTTGAGGAAGCCTAAAAAGAGTGGCTGACTTTGCTTTGAGACAGAGCTTTACACTCTGGTGAGGCTCTGATTTCTTTGCATGGAACAGAGGGTGCCGAGAGTCAGCCCGGCGGCCCAAGGAAACGGCTTTGCTCACAAGGCTTGCCTCTGCAGGCCTGGCTGGGGGGCGCCCCCCGCGGGGGCCTCCAGCAGCCCTGCTGGCGAGAAGGTAATCAGTCTCTGCACTGATTCTCAACCGAAATCACTGACTACAGCCGTACTAGTTATAAAGACAGCCCTGGTCCGCCTGCTCAAAGAGCTGGTTACGACACATACTCGTGCACTTGACTACATGAATTGCAGCTCAGGGTTACCAAGGCTGGATTTTTTTGTTTGTTTTAAGAGCACAACAGGAAGATGCACCTTCTACTTGGTTTCTGTGCTGGAGAGGCCTTTACAAGCGAGCTCTATCCTTCCCCCTGCCCTCCAGCTGGTTCTAACAGATACTTAAAGGGCTAAGCTAGACTTCTCATGCTCTCCTAAAACTGAGGAAATCTCATAGTTGACCATTTTGAAATCCACAGCTAGTCATGGCACGCCCAGAAAGCCTACCTATATCAAGTCTTTAGGCACTGGTGAGGTTCTCGGGCTGCCCCGCACCCCCAGCGGTGCCCAAGCACCTACCTAACCTCTTCAGCTTCCGTGGGTATGGGGATAACTAGCTATAAATCGAAGGCTGACAAGCTCCTCAGACCCCTCTCTCCAATGCCAACGTGATGGGATTCTCCAAAGAGACCTTTTGCTGCTGGCTTTGCCAGCAGAGGCCAACCCGGCAGCAACACCCAGAATACGCCTGTTGGACCAGAGACTGCACCAAGGCAGCCGAGAGCGGCCCCAGCAAAGCGTGCGTGGGGGGGACGCTCCCCGCTCACGCGTGCCCAGAAAGCGAGCTCTGGGTCTCAGAGCTGAAGGGCTCTCCCAGCCTCTTCTGCAGGAGCTTTCCATTTTGTACAGATAAAATAACTTGACCCTCTCCCATCTCCAGCAAGTGCCCTAATCGCTGATTTTTTAGGATCAACACTCTCCCTTCACAGTCCAAAAATCCAAATCAAAGCGGCAACCAGCAGCAGAGAGTCCCTGACCAACAGCTGCGGATGCAAGAGACGCACACCCACACCCCCCAGCCCCAAAGGCTTCTCCCTCCCGCTCCTACACCTGGACTTGCAGGGAGGTGCTCACGCGTGCCTGAGGCTTTGCCTACAGGTCTTCACGTCGTGGGGTGAGGTAGCTTCATCACGGAGCAAGTTCCTGACTTCCACGGGAATATTAAGAAACACTGGGGGAGAGTTTTCCCACAGAGAGGGTATGAGGAATCCCTCTTCTCCCTAGCAAAAGCCACGCGCGGGAAAGGTTTGTTACCAAAACGCTCCAAGGTAGCGTTGCAGCAGTGATACTTCCCAACTCTCCACACCTCTTCTTAACGGGTGCGGACAAGCAGTTTCGCTGTCAGCATGCCGTGTCCAGCTCGTAACAGTGTTTTTCTGCTTTCCACTTTCTAGGTTAACAGGGTTTTATTTGAATTTGATAATTCTGACTTGCTTGATAACCCTGGGTGCAGCTGGGGTCGTTAACAGCATTCTGGATGAATACCTGGACTTCCGCATTATGAAGAAACTACGGAAATTGTTCTGAAGACTGTTGGGGTATTTTTTAAAAAGTAAATAAATAATGCAGGTGCTTTCCCTGAACACCAAAAAGATTATAAGATGCATTTGAATAAAGCATCAGAGCTCTTTCCTAGCGGCCCGTTGCACTGTAAAATGCATGTTTTTCCCGAGCTGTTTACGCTTTTTCCTTTCCCTATGCTCTTGAAAGAGAGTCCGTGAGACAGAACGTGATGCCACATCTGCATTCGCAATGACACATTCTGTTCTCCCGTACAGTACTGTAAACCCCAAACGAACTGCGCAGAACTAAAGCCATTAATTCACTAAGTAATTTAGTCGCAACTGGTGCTGCAAGCCCCAGCCCACCTTACCCAACGTCCTTCAGCTTTGCCAATGCTCTGCACTCTTCCTTCGCTCCTCTTCCTTTCCCTCAGCAGCGCCACCCGTTCTGCACAAATGTAAAACCACTCTTCAACACAACACGCTGCCGCGAGGCCCTGATTTTCCAAGAGCATGCAATCCCACTGCAGGAGGCTGCTCAAGCATACATGGAAACGCTGCTTTCTTCAGGCCAACGTTTAAAGCTGCGCTTGACCCTACGTTCTGTGGAGGCCTTTTGATTTTATACGCACGTTCGCAGTTCCAACACCCGCTTAAATGCTCTTCTGGTAGAAGTGGGGCCCTCCTGCAGGCAGATCCCAGTCCTCACACAAAGCCTCTCGAAGTCAGGCTGTACCCACAGTGCGGCACCAGTGAGAGGGAGAGCCAGCCCGGACAAAAAGGCGGCGCAGATGCTCATCTGACAATTGGGTCTGCTGCGTTGTCTCCCGCCCAGGCACAGATGGCTGGGGTGTGGGAAAGGCTCGACAAATGTCCCAGCATGGCCACAGCTCTGGGAGTCATAAAATGGCAATGAAAAGCAAACCAACTAGGAAAACAGTTTTCTGCTAAAGCGGCAGGGAAAAGTCACGGCTTAGCACCATCAGCTCAACGTACGCTGGTGGTCAATTAGAACTGTGCAGAAGAAGCAAGACCACGCCTGACTATTTTGGTAGCTCCCGAGAATTCAAATGACTTAGGCAAGGCTGAATATACTCATGTTAGCTAAAGCCAGCAGGCAGAAATATTCCTTGTCATGCTCATGAAGACATGATTTGGCCAAAAAAAGACTGCGCGTTTGTACAATGGAACGTGCTTATGGTCTTTCTAAAAGCGTACTGAGGTTGGTAACCTGAGCACAAAATAATTGAGTGGCGGATCAGGTTCATAACAAGCTTCTGTATAGAAAAGGTGGACAGGTTGCGTTGTGCAGAAGTTAGCTTGGGACTAAAAGGCACAGCTTGGTGCCTGCGGGTGGCAAAGGCCAAAATGGCATTAGAAACAGCAACGTGAGATGGGTGCAAAGGCGCAAGACCTGGGTCCGATAACGGCTGCCGGGAGGAAAAGGACGGATCAGGATGGCGAACAGGCTGGAGCTGACAGAGCTGAGGAAAGGGCAACTCCCGGGCACTTGCCTCCAGGGGAGAAAGTACAACAGGGCCACATTTAACAACCACAGAAATCAATGGGAATTCTTCCTCTAACTTACCTTCTGCGGGTGGAAAGACAGAAAAATCCGCCTACCCGCCTGCCAGCGATGCCTTCAGGCAGTCACGGGCAGCAGGAAGCGCTGCCACCCAAAGAAAAACCAAGACAAGGTCCAAACTACGTAAAAGGCTTGAAATACTCACTGGGGGAGGCCCAAAGGTCGCTCCCTGCCTTCAGGCGGGTCTCTGCCGCTGAAACCATTCCGTTCCAAGCTTACCTGTTGTAGCGGCCTGGCGCGTTTACAGCTCGCTTCCATACGCCATGCACTCCACAGGGAGCAGTAACAAACGGGTGCTGCGCGGGGGCAATTTCACATGCCGAAAAACGCGGGCGTGAGGCTGCAAAGCACCACCTGGCAGCAGAGCGCTAGGGGATAAACACGAACCGAACATGGTAGGAGCTGCGCCAGCCGACGCGAGGGCAGAAGTCAAGGACACCGCCTGCCTTCTGAGCCACTGCTCTTTTTTCCCCAGTTAGCCGGGACAGCTCGAAAAAGGTGCTACAGGCTGACCCATCTGTCATTAAAAACGAAATGCACCTCTAACAGACGGATGCTGTCAGTGTCGGTATTTAGGAGCGAGCGCCGCACCGCCTCGTGCCCGCTGCCCCAGCAGTCGGTATCAGGCTGCACGCTCCGCGCGCGCCGCGAGCTGGTGCAAACGTTCATCTGCCGGGCACCATCAGAAACGGTGACGGTCCCTGCTGCAGCTTCAACGCCGGCCGCTGCCCAGGGGCCTCTTGCTGAAAGCATCTTTTCTCAGCAAGCCCCTTGCCGGCACGTGCTGAGGAGTGGCTCTGGGAAGCTGCGCCGGTCGGGGCCGTTCTCCTCCTCCGTGCCCCATTATCCACGTTCGGCATGGCAAAGGACTGACGTTAAGGAGAGAAGGGGAACCTCACCTTAAAGGTTGTACGTGGAAGCCAAGCCACGCTGACATCCCGAACCGTGCAAGCAGAGGTCCCGTGTCTGATCCCCCGCGACTCCCCAGTAGGCTGGAAACACAGAGAAATCGGTGTCGAGCCCCGGAGGCGACGCGGCTCATTTCTCTTGAACAGGCCATGTAAAGTCAGCAAGCCTACGTGCACCTCCCAAAAGGCTTCGGCCAACACAACCCTCACACTGTAGCAGTAGTAGCAGGTGACAGGGAACTACTCCGACCGCGTGTCTTCACGCTTCCCCAGTTTCCCCATCTCTTCTTTCCAATGTCTACATCCAACCCCGCATCTGCCTTCTCCCACCCCACCTCGCCTCCCCCCACCGCAGCCACAGGACTCCTACATCCTGGGCTCTCCATCTCGTGCCCTCCCCTGAAAGCACTT